TGTATGTATGTATGTATGTATGTATGTATGTATGTATGTATGTATGTATGTATGTTTGTATATACCAATAATTTATTTTTTCATTAATTAACCTAATAATTGGTGATAAAATGTTTTATTTTGATCTCTTTAACTTTAATATTTTTGAGATAACTTTAATCTAGGGGTGGCGAGTGTCTCCTCGAGCCACCTCTTGACTCCACACTATCGAGAATATATTCTATAACGTCAGATTTTGTGCTGGATTTTCTTAGCTACAAATTTAGTGGTAGATTAGCATCTGTTTTGTGGCAAAAAAAAAAAAAAAAATTGTTTGTATTCGCGAGAATATTTGTGTCAAATTCTATCTGACACTAAGATTTACAGTCGGATTTAACGTCGAAAAAAATCGGTCCAATATGTTTGCATCGCACTTTGCTAACGCATAATAGTCACTTAATAGCATCAATTATGCTGACCATAATATCGACACTCAAGAATTTGTGTTGACCTTTGTCTGACATAAATCCGACGCACGTGACCTAATCTAATCCCACACTGAAGAGCCACATTCATGTTGCTCGACTCTTCCTTCAGTCTCTCCCCTCTCTCCAACAACCCTGGCATCTCCCTTCCACTGTCTCTGTTTCCTCAAGCACTCGCCTTCATGACCAAACACCTTCATGATACAACCACCATTGGAGCTGAGAGTGCCACTACAGGATCCCCACATACCGTAGAGACCCAAAACTTCCATTTCTCTCCTACTTTCACTTGTCTCCTACTCGAAACCATTGATTAATGTACGTTTAAGTTATGTATGAAATTCATAAGAAATTTATGGTTCGTAATGCATAACAAAGCATCGATGCATTTGGAAAATTTGGGATTTTAGGCCAATATCCATGAAATTCGGATCTATCAAAAAATGAGGCCTTATTTTGTTCAAATGAATGTCTTGCAAGCTTAGGGTTAGACATGTAATGCTTAAGAAATGTGTGATTTGTTTGTCACTTTTGAAGTTTATGTTTAGATATGTGATACATAAGAATTGTGTGGTTTGTAAGTAGATATTTAAGTTTTGGTTTAGATATCTAATACATAAGAATTTCATGATTTATTTGTATATTTGTACAAATTTAAGTTTAGGTATAATATATGAAATGCATAAAGATTGTTTGGTTTGATGTTTATAAGTTAGATATGTGATATATAATAATTGCTAGGTTTGTATGTGGATATTGAAGTTTAGGTGTTAGTAATGTAATGCGTACAATGATGTCTTATATTTTACAGATGTATTATTGTTTGGTTTAGGTGTTAGGATATTGAAGTTTAGGTGTTACAGTGAATTACAGATGTATGCTTCCCTTTGAGAAGTATATCATCTCCATGTGTACAATGATGTCTTACAATGATGTCTTATAGTTCAAACTAATCTATGATAATATTTATTAAAAAAAAATCTCTATATAATAGATTATTAAATATTAAACTTTTAAGAATAAAACACAACTGGAGGCCTCGACATGTGAGACATACTTGCTGCACGAGACAATTACTTTTTGTTCCTACTATTTCGAGTAAGAACAGTAAATACATCAAAATGGTTGTGACAGACATTCACAGTTAGAATTATGTGTATTTTAAATATCAAGAAAAACATCAAGGAGGATGGTACACACTACCGCAATGATAAGAAGCTTGGAGAAACTACATTATATATTCTACTAAACTGCGACGAAGTACAACCATTTATAGAGTAAAATTTATAGTAATAAAAAAATTTTATAAGTATTATTCTGAATGTTATATTGATTAACTCGAACATATAAATAATAATGATGTGAGCATGTTATTTACTAACATTTTAAACATAAGGGAAGACTAATAAACACGAAGATAGAAGAAAATTTTTGACAAAATTCAAACTGTACATACTTTAAAGCAACTCTTCAATTCATTGGTACGTAATAAAATTATCACATTCAAAGTAATATTAATTATACTTTGACAATTTTTATAAGTTCATAATACAAGCAGTAGAATTACATACCAGAGCTTATTAGACCTTGCTTGAGGGTCTAATCGCAACACCACGATATGACAAATATTTGGTAGAAACTGTCATAGGCTTCACATGAGTTCCTAGTGTGAAAGAAAGAAGACATATAATTATAGTGTTTGTATTAGAGAAAATACACACATAGATAGTGAGATCAGTTATTATGATATACTTGGAGAAGTAGTTCAATTGCAATATCCGGGATTGTGCACAATGTCTATATGTTCAACTATGAGTGGTTTGATCATGTTCCTAATCAAGGAACATGAACACTAAGCCTATATGATAGCACCAAAGTTGAAATGAATAAAAGGTATGCAAAGTTTGATCCATGTATTCTAGCACATCAAACAAGTCAAGATTATTACCATCAATATTCTGGTAGATCAAAGGATACACTTGAATGGAGCATTACTACCAAGGGATACACTTGAATGGAGCATTGCTTTGAAAAATAAACCAAGAAAAACAATTGAGAGACAAACTATCCTTGAATTCATTCACCAAGAGCAAGGTATGTTAAATTTCATATTCATCTTAATTCAATTGAAAAATGTTTAACCTAGAGGATACCACGGTGTTTATAAAGAAGTTTCTCAAAATATGGATGATAATGATGATGACATTGATGAATAAATTTTAATTTCATTATTTTCTGACTAGTCTAATAAAACATACTAAAAATGGTATATATATATTTTGATGATTAGTTTCTTTTGTTTTTTTTACTTTGCTCTTTTTTAGATGTAGTTATGATATATTTCTTATTTTACTTATGCACCTTTCTGCTTTTTCTTTTGTTACTTATATTATACTTCTCCATCATATTTCTATTATTTTTACATGTAATCATGACATGTTTCATGTTTTAATTCTGCACATTGCTACTTTTACTTATATGATTTATGTTATACAACTTCTGCATATTCTTATTATTAGTACTATATTTTTTTTGTTATAGATGACATCAGGTGGTATTGATGATCAGCTACTTGAGCGACCTCATTTTCAGAGCACTTTAAGGAGAACGTGCGTGAGGTAAGTTGTGTGTGACTTACTCTAACAGACACAACACTTCTCAATTAGTCGTAGTACCATGGTCACTACAACACCTCTTGTAAGTTCTAAAGCCACTGCGATCAGTCCTATTACTCTATTCCAGTCACAAGGTTCTTTCGTTGCAGCCCCTCCAACACTAGCTACCTCTCAGAACCAACTCTCGCACCTGTAGCAGTCTTTAGTCCAGCTAGCTCCCTCCTCTGATGTGACATGCCCCTTGACTCCCACACCTTTGATAGAGGACACCACCGACATGCTATAGAATGTGTTGGAGGAAGACTCATAAGTTAACCTTAACATTAGAATAAGTTTGAAGTTCATCTTGATATGTTGTGTAGCTAATATTTATAATCCAGGTTCATTTCTCTCAGGCCACCCATGACACACATCACAAAAAACAATCGGTATAGATACGATGATGTGTGTCTCTCATGGAAGTAGATTATGGTACAACTCGGGACATGTAATTTTAGGGGTTTGAAATAGAATCAGTTAATTTGAATTAGAATTCTAATTTTAAGTTATTTTATTATATTAATCAACATTACGTAATCTTTAATTTGCAAAATTCTTTTGACTGGCTACTAAAGCATCATTAGTAGATCCACCACATATTTATAATTTTGACATGCATCTGATGGATGACATGTTTCTTACAGCCTGGAGGAAGGGGGAGCGACCCATCTAAATGGGGCAGGAGGTTAGGGAAGAGTTGACCAGAGCCCGAGCCTCTCCAGATTATCAAAGGAAGAGACAGATGAACTAACAAGAGGCTCCATTCTCCACATGGAGCATTACCAGATGTTGTAAATATTATCTAAATTTTCAAAAAAATTGAATGATCGATGTAATTATGTGGCACTTACTATTTTCTCATCTACACAGGCTAAAGAGCTTGACTTGTTGCTCACCACTGCTGAGTTGCATGTTTAGACACATTGACGCCCAGAAATACAATAACGGGCCTTCAATCATTCACTGCTAGTCCATGTAAGTAAAAAAATAATTTTCTATATTTTTAAACTATTAATGTTAAAAATAACAATTAGTCATTAGTTTTAATTATATAAAAGGAGTATGAGCTGCATCGAGAGAGGCAGAAGAAGTTGAAAGCCAGACCCTGACATCTATCAACAATAGTGATAGTCAGTCTACCATTGTGCGGTCTGATTTTGAGCTATAGACGCAAGCGGCATGGAAGAAGAGGTAGAGGGTCTACATCCTGGGCGTGTAGGACATAACATTTGAGGCTAAGCTCTCACATGAACTTGTAGGTTGTTAGAGCATGAGAAACTTGTCAAACTGGTTGGTGATAAGAATGAAGAGGAATATCCTTTTTCGTTATAGTTAGAGCATGACCACTATGACGAGGAATATCCTTTTTCTCCTCCTTCTCCTCTTCCTCCTCATCCACAGAGCTTATAGGTCGTATACCCTGACATCTGTAACACTCTCCGTCAAGCATGCTAAAGTTTCCTTAACTCTTCGCTAGCCTTCGCGCATATGATTACGCATCCAACAATGCTCTTAACTCTTTGCTAGCCTTCGCGCATTTGACAAACTGGTTGGTGATATGTTAAAAATCACCATTAGTGTCACCATCGTGTTCATCCAGATCATAACAAGCTAAACCCCCCTACTTTATTAGCAAAATAACGAGTTTTTAACAAGCATTCCATATTCATCCAATACATTTATTTTTAATGAACAAATCAAACTTAACAAATATAAAATTCAAATGAAGTAAATAAATGAAAATAATTGCGTTAAATCATTATCAATAACCTTTGAAACCAAAACGCTATCCTATCTTTAATACTAAACATATTATAATTATAAAAATCTAAATTTAAACATACATATATAGAAATTATAAAGCGCAGTCAAGCCTTCCAAAATTTCACTGTCTCTATCCTTTCCCCTGCCGCATCGCCCCTCTAAAAAAGGCTAAGCTTTATTGCCATTGCAGTCCCCCGTCATGTGCCTCTGTGCTTCCCCCCAACCCCACCACCGCTGCTATTTATCGCACCCAAACGTCGTCCGCTCACCAATCCGCGTTGCCAGAAAAATTTCCGATCAAGATGTCTCGTCAAAGTGGCGAAGGGAGTGCGCGTCATGGAAGGGACGAGTCGCAATCGCCATCACACGCGGAGCGCGTGGTTAAGCAACGCCGTGATGAATTCCGTGCGCCTCAGGATAGACCGAGTTCTTCGAGGTTGTCGGAGTCCTCATCAAGCTTTGCAGGTAGAGCCTCCGGTCATCCTGCGACAGCGCCAGGAAGTTCAAGGCCACCGGTGGCTTCCGGGTCTTCAAAGCCGGCCGCCGGTGGCCATCAAGGAACTGGCGCTTCGTCCGGGTTTCGGAACCGTCGGGATGAAATGTCTGGTTCGCGCTAATCATTTCTTTGTCCGCGCCGCGGGTGTTGGCAAAATAACTCAATACGAGGTGAGGCTCCTCTTTCATTATTGCTATGTATTTTTAATAATTAAAATAACAATTTTTTAATTTAGTATATTTTTTATTAATTATCTTTTAAATGAGTTGGCGCACGAGCTAATGAGGCCGGTTGGTTTGATTTTGGTTTGTTAGCTCATCGAGCTTAGTTCACGAAACACTGCTCGATAAAGATGGTTTTGAGTAGGAGCAGAGCAGAAGGAAGATAAAGATGGGAGTTTATGGGCTGTGTATGTCATGACCCCATCGTTGCATTCCCAATTAACTTTAATGGGTTCTTATCACAAGGGTTATCATAAAGGAGATGGTTTTGAGTGAAATTGAGAGGGGAAGCAACATAAACAAGGGTTTTGAGCATAGAGGGAAGTTTGGGGGGTGGGGGATAGTGGGAAGGCGAGATAGGTTTGTGGTTTTAATTTTTTTTTATGTAAGTTATTTTTATAGAAATAATTTATTAATAATTAATAATTAATTCATATATTATCAAATTAATTATAATTAGGCAAATTTATGTACTATTATATATAGTTAATTAATGAATAAAAGTTCATTTTAAAATTTAAATTACTTAATAAAATTATGAGCAGTTATTAATTAATATAATTGATAATTAATTAATATTAATTTTTTTCTTAATAAGTTATGAATTTAACAATTTTTATTATTAATTAATGAGTTAATAGTTAATTATTAATTAACATAATTATAAGTAAAACTAAATTTAACAATAAACTTTTATCATAATAATAAAATAATCAAAGTTTAAACATGCTTTTCTTTTTCTAACAAAGATAACAACCTTTTAAAATCTAGTTGAAGTTGTCAAACAATTTGATGGGATTTAGCTGGATTTACTAAATTCGGTACCATATAATTTTTGGGATTTAACTTTTCGAGGATTTACAAAATCTAGATTTATAAGATTTACTAAGAGTTAATAACTTAAATCTAGCATGTTGTTGTACAAGCCCTTATTATTAAATCCTGAAATAACATGTTTGATACATCAAACGAATTTAGTTGGATTTAATCTTAATTGAACCAAAAAGTTAATTAATATAGTTAGTCATTAATTAATGCTAAATTATTATTTAATAACTGAACCAAACACTTTTTAAAATTAAAATAATTAGTATTTAATTAAATTTAAGTTATTGCTTAATAAATAATTAGTTTTACCATATTTACATTAATAATTAGAAATAAAATTTAAATTTAATTCAATTAAATTTAATAAATAATTTTTATGATAATAATAAAATTTCATCATAATAATAAAATGATCAAAATTTAATCATGATTTTTTCCTTTAAAAAACATAACAATTTCTTAAATTATTGCTGAAGTTATCTAAAAATTTAGCAGGAATTAACTAAGTTTATCAAATTTGTTTCCAAATAATTTTTGGGATTTAATCCTCCCAAGCTTTACTAAATCTGACCTACTTAAATCTAATTCATTGCTATGCATGCCTTTACTGTTAAATCCTGCAATAACATGCCAAACACTTCAAACTTGTTAATGAAACTACTCTGAAATAGTCACTTTCTAATTTCATCGCCTAATAGGATCACAGTATTTGCGAAAACCTGAATAAAAAAATTAAGAAAGCAGGATCAAAGCAACGAGATAAAATACACAAGAATTTTACATGGAAAAACCTAAAAATAAAAACCACGAAGCCACATCACCACAAATTTTACTATGTAATTTAGAAAGTTTTACAAATGACACACAAATTTATTTTCCACACACACACGAGAAAACTTACACGATTTGCTTGCACCAACAATCTTCTCTCTCCAATACGACACAAAAAGTCATGTTAAATCACCAAAATCCATCTCTGCGACACTCCTCACTTTAACATGGATGCTTGTCGAAGAATTCAGAAGAAAGAAACAACAAGCCATAAGAAACCTGCTCAAAATTGGCTTATAAATAATTTTTTTTTTGTATTAACCGCACCGGACGCTTAGGCGCCCAAACTTGATGCCTAAGTGTCATGTGCATTGTATCGGTACCCAGAAATGGGCTTCTAAGCACCAATAGGTACTAGTCTCTCAGGAATAAGAGCAACACCCACTTTTATGGGGCTCTTAAGCGCCCATGGCTGACGCCTAGGCGCCGACCTTAAAACTGTTTGGAATGCTTTGGCTCCACACACACCGCAACAATCTCCCACTTGGAGAAAAAGCACCGAGCACCAATGCTTTGTACCTGTACCTCCATTTGAATCTCCTTCATAAACATGTATCATAGTCACGTACCGTGATGTGGCTCACCGCCGGTCTCAACTTTCATGAAACCCAACTAAAGCCAAGCACAGCTTCAGTTTCTCAAAAATCACCACCTTCGTCAACAAATCTGAATGATTTTCACTTGTATGTATCTTTTCCAGAAATAACTGCCAATCTTCTAGAAGTGATCAAATGAAATGATATATTAGTTAGATGGTTTCATCTTGACATGAAAAGCTGTGTTCTTAATAAGATGAATCACACTCATACTGTCATTATAGAGCTTTATAACCCCTACTCCTTGCCCAATTATGTCATGAAGTTTTGTATCTAAATCATCTCCTTGCTAGCCTTAGTGATAGTAATATATTCAACCTCCATAGTTGAAAATACAAAGATCTTCTGTAACCCCGAAACCCAACTTACTGTTACTTTCCCCAATGTGAAGATATACCCCATTGTACTTCTCCTACTTTCTACATCTCTTACCAGATCTGAATCTACAAATCCATATAGAGTGACCCCTATATTTTCATAACAAAGTGCCCTGTTGAATATTCCTCTCAAATACATGAGAATCTTTACCGCCTCCAAATGATGTTTTTTCTGGATTGCCCACGTACATGTAGATTACTCCCACTGCATATGCAATATCTGGTTTGGTACAAATAATCACATACATCAAACTTCAAAAATGGAAGCATACAAAGTTCGTTCCACTTGGGTTTGCTCTGCTCTAGAGTTTGGAGATAGCTCCTTAGATAGTTTGAAGTGACTACCTAAGGGAGTGCTAATTGGTTTCGCCTCACTCATGTTTAACCTTGGTAGGATCTTCTCAACATACTCTGCCTGACCCAACTTCAGTGTTGTTGTACTCCTGTCCTTGTTTATTCCCGATTAGAACCTAAATCCTCAATCTCAAATTCACTTGATAACTTATTCTTCAAGTCTCTAATTTTTTCCATGTATGTCCCTGTAATCAGCATGTCATCTACATACAAATGAAGAAATTTATAATAGTTAGTGAAGTCTTTGATGAAGCAACAGTGGTCTGTCTGGCACTTCATGTACCTGTTGTCTGACATGAACCTGTCAAACCATCTGTACCACTATCTCGGGGCCTACTTCAAGTCATTGAAGCTCTTCTTCAATCTGTAGACCAAACCTTCTTTGCCTAGAACCTTGTAACCTTATGATTGCACCACATAGAGTTCCTCCTCCAAATCACACGTAAGAATGCTACTTTTTCATCCATCTTCTCCAAATGTAGATCTTCTTCTGCTATCAGATTCAACACAACCCTGATAGTTGTAGTCTTCACTAATGGGGAGAAGATCTCTATGTAATTCACTCCTTCCTTCTGCTGGAAACCCTTCACAACAAGCCATTCCATGTAACACTTGCTACCACCTGACTCCTCTTTTAGTTGTAGTCCTAATTGTGTGTTATGCTCTGTTGTCATTTGGTAGTACCATAAAATCCCGTGTATGATTTGACTCCAAATATTAAATTTTTTCATCTATGGTGAGCTCCCTCTCCCTTGAATCTTCAACTTAGTGGCCTCCTCAAAGCACTCTAGGTCATCACTATAGTTAGTAACAAATAGTATAAAGAAGGAGAATACTTTTTGTATGGGTTGTTTCACTCTACTAGATCTTCTGACTTTTGTAGCAGGCAGTAAGGAGCTTCCAGTGCTCCTATTGGTTGAACACTTGTTCTTTGTCTATCTCTCTGATCATTAGTATCATCTATCCCGAGATATATGGATTTTTCAAAAGTAGCTGACGGAATGTCCTAAGTTCTAACCTTGTCCTTGTACATTCCATTTAGTTAAAATTGACTTCCCTACTTCTGATGAATTTATGATTCTGATTATCTCATAACTTGTACCAAAACTCATCGAATTCATATCTAATGAAGGTGCACTTGATAGAATTTGAGTCGAGATTTCTCATGCACCCTGCATCAACATGCACATATGCAGAAGACTCAAATACTCTTAAATGAGATAGACATGCCTTTTTTTCACTCCAGGCTTCTTCTGGCAAGCCTTCCTTCAAACATACTGATGGACTATGGTTTGTCAGATAAACTGTAGCGTTAATTGCTTCAACTCAAAACTATTTTAGCAAGCCTGCATGTCATCTCATGCTCCTAGCACGTTTCGTGATTGTTTTGTCATGCACTCAACTACACCACTTTGTTGAGGTGTCCTTGGGACGGTGAAGTCATGTTTGACCCTGTTTGCAGCACATAAATTCCCAAACTTCTAATCACGGTACTCACCCCCATTATTTGATCTGAGACATTTCAGCTTCAAGATTGTCACATTTTTTATCGTAGCCTTTCATTTCTTAAAGACTTCAAATACATCAAATTTCTGCTTTAAAAAATAAACCCATACTTTTCTCAGGTGATCATCAGTGAATGTGACAAAATAACGAGAATCTCTAATGGACTGAACTAGAGTAAGACCCATACGTTAGTATGCACTAACTCTAGTTTCTTTGATTCACCATTGACTCACTCTTGCAGAAAGAAACCTTATTCTGCTTGTCATAATACAATTTTCACAAAAATTCATATCAACTGATTTCAAACTCTGAAGCTTATTCTTTGAAAGTAGGGATTTCATAACTTTCTCGCCCATATGACCAACCATACGGTGTCACAGACCTACTTCTACTCTGGTTCAAGCCACATCAATGAAATCAACCATCTCATTGATCAAATAAAGTGTGCTTTCAATTTTTCCCCTAGCCATCTCCAATGCCCCCTTGGTTAACGTCCATGAATAACCTGTGACAGTAGTCACAAGTCCCAACTTTGTCAATTGACTGACAAAGATAAGATTCTCTTCAAACTTGGAACATGTTTTACTTCAGTAGGCTTCCAGGGTATTCTATGTGGCAACATGGTATCAACATCACCCTTTCCTACTAAATTGTAAGCTATGTTATCTCCCAAATAAAATTTCTCTAGATCACTATGAGTGTAGTTTTTAAATTCGTTTTTATTGGAGCAAACATGAAAAGAGGCACCTGAATTTACTATCCAAAATCCAGTGCTAACTAGAGACAATGCCAGAGAGTTATTTTGGATTTCACTTATGGAGTCATTAGTTGAAGGATTACTTTTCTATCCTCCACCACCAACTTACCTTGGAGCTTTTAGTCCTTCTTGTAATGCCCTTTCTTATTGCAATTCCAACATTCTCCTCTACTAGACTTGGGCCTTTCTTTCTTGGAATTAGATCTACCTCTGCCTGTATTTCCACCAAGATTCCTTCCCCAATTATCATCATTGAACACAAAACTCAAAGATTCACCATTTGAAACTTTTCTGCAAACTTCTTCATTTAGTATCAGACCCCTGATAACATCAAAGTTCAACTTTGAAGTCCCTGAAGAATTACTCATCACCATTACCAAGCCATCCTAGCTTTTCAGCAATGAAGATAGTATCACGAGTGCCTTGTTCTCATCATTAAACTTGATCCCTACAGAACACAACTGACTGGTCACAGTGTAAAAGCTATTAAGATGTTATGTCACTGAACTGTCTTGAACCATATTCATTTGAATAATTTCTTCATCAGAAAAGCCATATTGGAAGCAGAAGCTTTTCCGTACATCTTGGTCAATTCCGTCATGAGATCCATCGTATATTTCTCATTCACATTGTTGAACGCAGCAGATAAGGAAAGTGTTGACATGATCAATCCCATTGTTGTTCGATCCAACACTTCTCATTACTCCATAGACATAGATTCAGGCTTCTTTATGAATCCTTGTAGTGACAATTATATATTTTTTTCTGATAAAACAAATCTTTAACTTGCATCTTCAAGAAAGTGAAGTTCTTCCCATTTATGTTCTCCATTTTGAACATTGCTTCTTCGGTCATTGCTCTCAACAGAATTAAAATCTCTTGCATTAATACTATTTTGTTAAGGAAACTACTCCGAAAGAGTCACCTTATAATTTTAATGTGAAATAAGATCACCGGATTCTAGAAAATCAGAACAAAAAATTTAAGATAGTACAATCAAAATAACCAAAAAGCACATGAATTTTACATGGAAAAACCCAACAGTGGAAAAAAAAAAGATTCATACTACTACGAATTTCACTATGTAATTCAGAAAGTTTTACAAAGGACTCACATAAATTTCTTCTATGCACTTACATGAAGAAACTTATAGGATTTACACCAATAATCTTTCTTCTACAATCCACCAATAATCTTTCTTCTCCAATCCAACACAGTAAATCACGCCGAATCACCAAAATCCACCTCTTCGACACTCCTCACCTTCACCAGGATGCTCGCCAAAGAATTCAGAAGAAAGAAACAACAAACCTCAAGAAACCTGCTCAAAATAGGCTTAAGAAAACCTTTTTTTTCATGTATTAACTGCACCGGGCTCTTAGGTGCCCAAACTTGGCGCCTAAGCGCTCTGTATCGACGCCCAAAAATGGAAGCTTAGGCTCAGGTCTCTTAGGAATAAGAGCAGCGCCCGCTCTTGTGGGGCGTTTAAGCGCCCCTCGTTGGCGCCTAAACGCGAGCCTTACAACTGCTTGGAATGCTTTGGCTGCACACACTCCATAATAAAACCATAAGTGAATGAAACACTATTCTAGATTTAACAATATCTGGATTTAATAAATTCAGATTTATTGTATTTACTAAATCCTATTTAAATTAGATCATGGTAGCAACCAAACACCCCCATAAGAATTGTGGAGAATGTATGTAAATGACTCTTTCTGATATTGCTAGATAAGTGCATTAAACTCATTTATGCATTTCGTGAATACTAATAATGCTAACAAAACTTTTGTAGTTGATATGAACTTTTGCTTACAAGATTTTCTTGTCCATGATCTTTTTTCTCTTGGACTTTCCGTGCTTTTAAACATTGTCCTACCATGTTGTTATTTGTCAGTAATGTGGTTCTGCTTTCTTTCTATTGATGTACGTTGGTTGATGTACAATCATATTGAATCATGTCTCTTATTGTTGTGTTGAGGATGAATTTAAGTCAACATTTCCCTCGTTGAGAATGATGAAGCAATACGTAATACAAGAGTTTTAGACAAATGATAATCTTATGAGTTGTGTTTCCCTAGTTAATATTACTAAATTTGCACAAGTCTATATAGGATGATGCTATAAATTATTTTTTTTTCTGTCATCGCTAACAATCATAAGGGAAATTTTATTTCATTTAGTTGAATGAGTAATACGATTGGCTCCTTTACATTTATAGTTGAAAGGTTTCTAATGATGCTTCTATTTACGATAGTGTTATTTAGCCACATGAGAAGTTGCTGTTATGAGAAGCAGCTCGTTATTTCTCCTAGAAAAATGGGGAAATTTCTCAGTGTTTTGTTGGAAATATCTTAACAAGGCTAATTTAAATTATGAATGGATGAATCATGGGAAGCTAGTGGTTATTGTTTTTTTTATGTTATTATTCATCTCGTTCTTACAATGAAATATTAATGTGTCGTAATTGGACTTCTTTTATAGAAACTAATGTCATAACTACCTTCTAATATATTTTTATTCTCTTCTTTATTGGCTAAGTAGATCAGTATGGATCCAGAGGTGAGGTCTAGACCAGTATGCAGGGCCTTGATGAAGGAATTGATTAAGCAGTTTGGCGATTCACACCTTGGTCAGTGTCCACTTGTATACGATGGACGTTATATCTTTTACACTGCTGGTTCACTTCCATTTGTGACACATCAATTTACAGTAATTCTGATTGATAAAGATAAAGATGGGGGGTAAGTGTGTGTACTTTCAACCTTCTACATTACCAAATTGTTGTACTTATTCTCATGTAATTAAAATGCTTTTTTTATTTAGAATCCAGAGTGAAATGAGCTTCTCATTCTCTTTATCTTGATAGTTTTTTATAATATATATTGTCCGAAAAGGGCATTAGGAATTTAATAGACATATTGAATAAGGGTGTGAGCAAGTGGGTTAAAAAGTGTGTCGTGGGCTCAAAAAATTTGTTGCCACAAACCTCCATGTTTTGAGAGCTTTGAGTTTAATGTTTTGGGTTAAATTTTTAGAAGATAGATTGGATTGTAGATAAGCAATTACCCAGAGAATTGACCCTCATTTTTTTAGGTCTTTTTATATGGGGTTCAAGGGTTCCCATAAGTGCAAGTCCCTGTGGTTAAAAACCCCTACCTATAATAGGAGAGAACTTTTGATAAAGGATAGTCATTAAAAACTGATCATTCAATAGATAGTAGCACCAGGCACGTGTTTTAGGTTGATCACTTTATAATTTTGAGCTTAAAGAGCTTAAAGTTAATGGTGGTGATCCTGATTAAGATCACATTGTTCAATTTATGTTCGTCAAAAAAACTCTTCGTTCACGAACAACTTGTGTTCGACTCGCTAAGTAGTCATTTTTTGATTCATTCATTAAAGTCAAGTCAAATAAAAATAATATATTTAGCTTAATTTATAAACAACCTGAACACAAACAAGCATTTGTTCGACTATGGTTGGTATATTTTGGTTCAAAACAAATAAATAATTAAAAATAATATGATTAGACTATTTTATAATAAAATTTTATGATATGTTTATTAGGAAAATTTGATATTTAAAATATAATAAATCTATTTAAATTGACTTTTTTTATTCTTATTTCTTGAAATTAATCGCAACCCTTAGATAGGTGCGTTTGGGGCAGCTTGTGTGTTTCAGGATAAGCAGCTTATCCTGACCGCGGTCGACCCGGGGCCTGCGTTTAGTGTAAAAATGAATTACTTTTTCGGATAAGCAGACAAAACACACGATCCAAACGGTACCGCGGCGTTTTAAAAAACGCCCCCACACTTATAAGCTGCCCCAAACAGACCCTCAAACTCTAAATCCGACTAAAATACTCACTATATAAACCTTCGAAAAAACTCTTAACGTTTCAGCTAGCTTTATTCTTTTCTTTAGTTTCTGTCTCGAGTGATGAGAAGTGATAGGTGAGAGCTCCATTCTTTCCTCTCCATCTGAAGAGCTCTCATTTCATTTTGTTTCTGTCTCAAGGTCTGAAAGGTGAGAGGTAAAAGCCCTAAGCACTTGTCAATCATTTCTCTGTGTAGGAGGCCAACATGCCTCATTTATTTTCAGCCCAAGTGCAAAAGCTGAAAGGATCAAAAATCTTACTAGAGTTTCTCTGGTTTGACTTCTTCCAAAATGTTTGAAAGTTTTAGTTATTTTAAAATGTCTTAATATACTTTTGAGGATTTGAAAGTTTAAAGATTAAACATCAAGGAAGTCAAACACTAGCATGCTATTCACAAACAATTTCAAACACGAGCTTAATTCAAACATATTGAATATCAAAAAAGCTGAGCATGAACATTGTCTGGGGTTACTCAAGCTCAACTCACTTACAACCCTAGTTTTATTGTCCTGGATCATTGTGGTCCTTGATCTGCTTAGTTAAATGTTGTAGTTGACCTAAATTGACTAAAGAATCCTCATCTACAATCATGATTTGTATCGTCCAAGAACCCCTTATAGATCTAGGGCGGATATTTATCTAAGGGGACAAATTTAAGTCAGCCGTATGTCACAGACAAATAGTCCCACATCGACTAGGTGTATGGTCGAAAAACAATATTTAAGTCATAGGCTGCCACCTCTCTTAAGGGCTCTTTTGGGAGGTGCTAAGTGGTATCAGAGCAGATTACTGTCTGTCAGGTGTGTGAACTCTCCATGGTCCAGTGGGACTCTCAGTGGAGCCGATCCGTGAAGATGGTGTCACGTGATTGGGTGGAGAAGAATGTCACGGACAAATAGTCCCACATCGGCTAGGTGTATGGCCGAAAATCAATATTTAAGTCCTGGGCTTCCCACCTCTCTTAAGGGCTCGTTTGGGAGGCGACACGTAGCTAACATAAGATTTATGCAAATCAATTGTAATATTAAGGTTCACAGCTCAAATAATAGAAAACAATTGTGGAACATGCGAGTTGTAGTAGTGACCATAATATAATTGTGTTATTTAGCTACAAATAACCAGCCATATGACTCTAATCATAACCGCTACTTTGTAGTGTCAGTTGGTAGTAAAATGATTAGTACGGCGATGACACACAAGTTATCACACAAGTATTTGTGTAGATCAAATAGTATACAAAATATAATCACGATCCTTATATTTATCCCACAATGGATGAATAAGTTTATGACAATGTCCAAGAACTAGTTGACTATTTCTAAGCTTAATTTAAAATTTTAAATATTTTTAAAATTTTTAAAGTGTTTAAAATTCTAATTTCAAAATGAAAGTCTAAATTAAATGATAATAAATTTTCTAACCGTGTGAATTAAGTTTCTCTTGAATTAGTTCAGTAAAATCTAAGTTCCTCCAAGTGTTAGAATCTCATATCATAATTGGTTTCTCGAACCCTACAAGAAGACCCAGACATCCACATTCCCTATAAAGATTAAGAGTCTACCGGTAATATTAACATTCTACTAAACTCTTATTACTTAACCTAGTTTTTCTTTTAGTCATATACCAATAGTGTTAAAATTCAACTAATTTTAAAAATCAAAATGGTTAGTTTAAATGTAAATTAAGATTGGAAGGTTAAAACAACTTCTTCTTCATTCTTAAGTTCAAAATATAGCACAGATTCTCTTAGATTTTAAAGAAAATAAATCCAAATGAAGAATAAGATTAAGTGTTAATTATGATTTAAAATAGATATATAAACTGCCTTAATAAATTCAAACTAAGTTTACAAAGTAAAAGGAATTGAAAAATCATATGGATGAAATCATGCTCTCATGATTTGATGTCCGTCTGAAATCTCCTCATTTGCTTGATACAAACACACCCTCACTCACTCTCACACAATCACAATATAAATCCCCACAAGTCACTTTACTCTCCCGAGTATTGTTTTATTCTCTTTCTAAATGTTGTCAGGCAGCCTTCCATAAAGAAATCTAGCCCTTAAATGCCTTCCCCCATTGGAACCATAGACAAAGCAGTAAAATTGCTTTTTGTCGCTGGTAGGCGCGGGGACGCTGACATGATAGTGTTGGGGCATTGGATGCAGCCGCGGCGATGCTGCATTTGGTGGCTTCAGATCATTAAATTAGGGCATCAGGGGTCATGGCGTTGGTTTGGGTGATGCGATAGCACTGGTTCGAAGCACGAATGTGCTCGGGTCCTAATGCCGAGATGCCTTCTTCTATCTATTTTGACTGAAATGGGATATCTTCAGGTACTGATTCGCTAGAGTTTGCAGCGCTGAGGTGCCAAGCCTAAGCATTGGGGCGCTCTCCATTTGTTTTGGGGGCGCTCTTCTGACTTAGCCTGTTATGTGCCAATTCCTTCATATGCTTCAAATTTATTTTTATACTATAGAAATGGGCCAAATCAACCTATGAATAGTATATAAATGACACAAATAATATAATAAAGACCCCATACAACACTACACATTTTATACACATCAAATTCTCTCAAGCATACACGCTACATTTCCTCAACTAATTTAATACCAAAGTTCAAACTTTAAAAAATTTTAGTAGCTCTCTTATTAGAATTTCCTTGCTCTTAAACAATAACATAAATACCTTTTAATTAAAGTGCACAAATATATGTGTTAAGCTTGTTTTACTTATTTTTGAATGCCTTTATTTTCTATTTTAAAACCATTAATCATTCCAAATTTTCATTCACAATATTATAGTTTAAAAAATTGGATTATTAATTAGGTAATTTAAATTGGCAATAAAAAAATTTTATATCTTTGATTAAATAATTATATGTGTTGTCAACTAATTTTAAGTGTTTAAGAATTATTATGTTAAGGAAATATTAATCTTAGTAAGAGGTTAGTAATTATTAATTAATTAAAATTATTTTTTTATTAAATATTTACCTCACAAAATAAAAGATGAGACAGGAAAATATAAATAACATAACATACCATAACATAAATAAGAAAGGAAATAAATATATTAACAAGAAAAAAATATAATATAGACAGAAGTAAATACTAAGCCAAGCCTAAATCATGTAAACATCACATAAAAATCACATGAGATAATGCAGAAAGAAAATAAATATAAGCATAACTACTGTCCACATCATGCTAAAAAAATAAAATAAAATAAATAGCATGCAATCACATTGATCATCCATGAATGAACTAAGCAGTAACATGCTCAAAACCAGAATTGCAAACCATTCGGGCATCACTGCCCTCATCATCATCATCATCATCATCATCCATAAGCTAAGGTGTATTCTTGTATAATGAAATTGTGGTGCATCAGGAAGTTGGGTAATGCTATGTCCCTGGTGCTTCTGGCCATGACAAATCATATCAACGGAAGTAGAGTTGACTTGTATGTGGTACTCATATTGTCACTTTTACTGATTAATGTAATAATCAAATCTCTAGCCTATATCCCTCCACAACCATTGAATAATAACCACATCATCACTCAAGATATCCAACATTTCAGGAATCATCGAAATAGAGGAAAAAATTGGGGTCGGGAGCCAGAAGAAGTCTTTCCTCTCTCATAAGAAGTTTTTCCTCTCTCATAAGAAGTCTTCCCCATAGGAAGCCAAAGTTTTCTTAGCCATTCATCTACTAGGATTCATATGCTCCTCCCAACGCTCATATTTAACCCAAGCCTTCACACATAAAGCAAAAATCAAAGAATGATGTCCAAGGCCTAATGTCATCGCTCCCTTGATATCGTTGTGGATTGAAAGATACATACCACACCTTATATCTATGGAATTTTTTTTTTTGGATTCAGAGGTTCATAATAAGTCTATCCTTTATCACCTCATTGAAGTTAGTCAACAACATTAGTTTTATAGAAATATAATAATGTCAAGCATTTGACTCAAGATTGAGAATATTGGAGGGGAAATTGACCATCTTCTTATTCTAAATCCTCTACGGGAAATGAGAATCCCTCAAGAAATTAATAATTTCATGAAAATTAGATTCAGTGGGCACAAATTGAGAATATTCTTTCTTAGTAATACCATATAGTTCAAAAATGAATTAAGTTTTGAAGGGCTTAAATCAACTTGCTTCCCTCCAATGAAAACCTTTTCTTCCTTATTCTCCTTAACATTGGCTTAGAATTCACAAACAATAGGAACAACTGCAATCGCAATATACAAAAAAAGGGTTTTCCCTACTTTATGCTCAAAACCAAACCCTCTAACCTATCATCAGGTTCAAGGAATCCTCTTTTAGGAAAGAGCTTTTTTAATACCATGAAGTCATTACATAATACAACTACCTAAATAGTAATGAATTTCTCGGTATCAAAAGAAAATTGGCGTTTGACACCCTCAGTTTTTGAGGTCATGTAATCGAAAGAAGTTGAAGAACAAGAAAACTATGAAAACTCGAAGAAAAATGAAAGGGAATGCGAAGAAAGTTACATGAAGAAAGTTACATATAACTCAATGAATGCCCCAACTCCTCTACTTGATGGCTTGGATCAAAGGCTGGAAAGAATCACTTGAATAGAAGAAGCCAAAGGAAAATACGATCAGAGGTCGGCAGGCGATGGGTGACTTGTAGCTGGTGGCAGCCGGCGACAGCGTTGGTGAGCAGTGGTTGGGACCTCGAGCGGCGGTTGGCGACGACTGTTGGGGGGTGGTGACAGACGACGGTTTGCCCATAGCATTGCACAGTGTAATTCAAATTCGGTCAAATTGATGGAATTCTAAATGAAGCCAAAATGAACTTAGAAGTGAACTTTAAATTCATTAAAATTTTACATTGTACTTGTACTTCTTCATACCAAACATATATTTTCGCCAAATTACTGTAAATAAATTACAGTACATCACAAATCCTTCCAACCAAACATCCCCTATATCTTTTACAAGTGAAAGATAACTAAAAATTTTGACACTCTTGGAGTCATTTCTACTTAAGGGGTTACATCGGGTTGCCTAGCCTGCCCATTGTACTTGTACTTCCTTATACCAAACACATAATTTCGTCAAATTCCTATAAACGAATTACAGTACATCACAAATACTTCCAACCAAACAACCCTTATAACTTTTACTAGCAAAGATTGCTAATAATTTTGATAGTCCCTTGGAGTCATTCCTACTTAGGGGTTACATCGGGCTGCTTAGCCTGCCCAACTACTCATAAGACACACTGATCAATGTCATGAAATACTACAACCATAAAGAGGTCTTCTAATCAGCCAACATATAAGACATGTATAGATCTTTGATTAACCTACATGAAAAAATGCCAACATAATTTTTCGCCATGCCGAACTAGCCCAAACAATTATTTATAATTCTCCATGCA